TTCAAGGATATTAATCAGAATTCAAGATTTCAACAAGGAGATCAGCATATATGAATCATAGTAAACCTATCATCCAAAAATAATTATTACAGACCAGATTCCACTACCCCCAAACTTAAATGTTACATTGTCCCAATGTAAAGAAAAAACAATGCAATCAAATTAAAAATAACAATCCGAACAAAATATGAGGGAGTAGAAGGAAACTGTCCTGAATGATGACGTAGAGTCACTGGTCCTCGTCCTTAGTGGATGAATCATGAAATTGTGGAAGTGGAGGAAGAGGTTCCGATAATTGTTGAGCCTAAAAGCATTGAACAAGATAGTCAAATTGCAGCCTCTGGTTCACCTGAAAATGATGGAACTGGCATGAAAGATGGCGAACTTCCTCCTCAAGTGGTCGGGGAGCGCGCTGTTGTGGTGGTGGGTCGACATGGACTTCCAGTTGTTCTTCCGCAGGGCCTTCAATCTCCATAAGGGGCTCCCACCCACGGATAGACAAAATGTAATTCTTGTCCATCACACTTTTGGGACCCAGCAATGTCTCCGTGGGGTCGCAAACAACACCAACCTTCTTACAGAGGCCGGTTATCAATATGGGATGGGGAAGGCCACCGGTTGTGGTACCGCGTCTTGCATGCTTAATGCTCTGCTTGATAATCCGCCCAACATCAATAGACTTACCGGTAACAATGGCGTATAGCAATATGGCCCGTTCTTTGGTGACGTCGCTCATGTGGGTCACTAGGAGTAGCTTTGAACAAATAAAATTGTGTCAAACCTTGTGAACACTCAGATCTGCAGATTTGAAGGTAATGGCTTCACCGTGCCGTATTTTCCATTCAGAATTCTGGCGGCATAAACTACGAAGGATCTGATCCATGTCAAGCTCCTTACTAGCATACCGATTATAGTCGTCCTGATCAAAATTGGGAAGCTAAAAAAATTCATTGATAGAGATACGGTCGAAAGCCACGCTCCTTCCCTGGACAAAAGAAATATTAGACCCCTCCTGGATATTAGCATAAACTTCACGAACAAGGGAGACCACGGCGACATTGGGCTGCTCAACAAAATTGACCCACCTTCTAGAAACAATATTCTCATACATGATCTGTTGGTGGACCTCATCAGGTACTAGGCCCCGTTCCTGAATAAGACTTTTATGGGCCGCTACAGTAGAGAACCAAGTGGATGCCTCATTAATAATTTTTTTTTCTATCATATGAGCTAGAAGAGGAGGCACCACGTGCTCGTTTTGGAGCCATAACAGTACAAAGACAACAATACAACAAAAACGCTCTAGGAAAGTACTGACGCTTCAAAACGTTTCAACCCAAGTGCGATAATCTCAATAAATACAAGAATAGCCAAATACCAGTGTATATATCGGCCCAAAACAACAAAATCTTACTTGGTTGGGAAGAACGTGTGGATTTGACAAAAACCCACAACTTGAATGCCCCAAAATCGCTAAAAAAAACACGCAATCCTGAAATAGAAGGTAGAAACCGTGAATCGAGGATGAAATTGGCCTAAGACGGACGAAAATCGAAGAAAAATCGAGAAAAAATGGAAGGAAAGCGGCGGAAGAGCGCTGCGGCGCTTAGGGTTTTCGAAAATGGCTGGAAAGGGTGGGGCGAAATCTGGGTTTAAAAACCCAGAAATCGCTACA